GGAATTGCACTCCTGCTGCTGGCGGGAAGTGTGAGACCAGCTGGAAACCCTGATAAATGCCAGGGGCTTCTGCAACAAAACCTTCACTCCCTTCCAAAGCAGGGCACACAGAGGTGGCCGTGCAGCCACCCGTGAGGGGCTGGCACTGGGGTCCAGGGACCATCTGTACCTCAGGGAGTCTCCCCACCGCCTGGGCAGGGATGTGCTTCCGTGGGGAGGTCAACAGGAACAAAGTAGAGGCACGATAAAAATCAGGAAATGGTAGTGGAACTTTTTTAACGGCAGTAATTTGCTTCCTATAACGCAGATTAAAAAGACGTAAATCTGGAGCACAAGTCAACTCTGTGGAGTGGCAGCACAGAACACAAAGGCTGGAAGCAGGGTGGGAGCAAAGGATCACCTTCCCCCTAATGAGGCAGCAGCGCCCATCCCCCGGCAGGGACAACAAAGGGGTCCATTATCCACACGGGTTTCACTCCAAGTGTTTAATGATCACCACCCTTGCCCGAGTTCCTGCTGGGGTCCAGGGAACCCTGTCCCAGCGGGAAGGGTGAGGCACTAGAGAGGCACCTTGAACAAGGCAGCGCTCCTTGTGCTTTCCACCTTCCAAAAAGCTGCTGAAATGTGGTGTAAGGGAAGAGCCACAAGAGCAGCCCCCTCTCCCCAGCTCCAGGCTGGTGGTGAGGCTGCAGCCTGATTTCTGAGAATCACAGAGTATCTTGAGCTGGGAAAGACCCACAAAGATCATCCAAGTCCAACTCCTGATTCCATCACTTCTTTACTCAGCCGGCAGCCCTTTGCAGGTGCCAATGACCACAAATCACCAAAATTCACCCCAGCGAGCAGGGTCTGCCTGGGCTCACCCACTCTGTGGTGCTCCAGCAGCTCTCCATGGAAAGCTCAGCATTCCATAAGGGCTGCTCGCTCTCCAGCATCACAGCTGGGCCAGGAGCGAGGCATCAGCACCACCACTGAGCCCCTGTGGCTCTGGATTCTCCAGCTCCCCAGAGAAGCACCAAGGCACTGGATTTTCAGTGACCCAATCCATAACACACCCAAGGAAGGCACCTTCTGGATTATCCAGCTCCTAACTGGGTGTTCCTTAGCTGCTCTGCTGATCCTAAGTGGCTGGATCACTCCTAGGTACAACCTCAGGCACTGGATCTCATCCTTTCCTTGCCAAAAGTGGTGGATGAGGAAAGTTTGGGGATTTTTTTGACTCACAGAAGTTGCTGGCAGTCAGCAAATTACTAAATCAACAAATGTAGGTGTTAAAATTCATCACAAACTCTCCATCAGTGATTAAATTTCAGAGCTTGTAAGAAATTTGTCCTTGTAAACTCTAGAACCATCCAAACCCAAAAAAACCTTTTTAATATGAAGTGTCACCTAAACAATATAATTTCCACACCAATTGCCTTTAGAACCACAGAATTTTTTAGAAAAACTGTGCCTATAATTAAAACTCTCCAGGGTGCACCAAAATAAATTCTTAAAATTGGTCTCAATTCGCCCAGCATCTGGGTTTTAACTTTCCCCCCATCAAGGGCTGGGACCCCTGGAATTCTTCACATTCCAAACCCTCTTGGGGCTCCTCTCTGCCTTGTTCAAAGCAAGCGCTGTGCTCTCAGTCCTTGACCCAAATTTTCCAGTTATTTACCAATATTTGCATCACTTGCACATTATTTGTGATGAATTGGGTGTTCACTTTGAAGTGAGGGACAAAAAAAGTCCCTTAATGAAGGGCTGAGGATGGTACACATCTAATAAAGAGGTATTTCATGATAATTCCTTGTGTAGAATCCTTCATTCAGACCTGTGAGCTGCTTTAAAAAAAACAAAAAAAATTGTAATATTGTTGTATAAATTAAGAAAACACTTAGATTTGTAAATGGAAATGCTTCCACTAGTAATAAATCAATAGCCTCCTCCATCAATGGAAGGATAAACTTACAAGCTCTAGTCTGAAAGCACTGAAGGCAGTCAGACCCTTTGGTCAGCAAAATGTTTTTAATAACTTCTCATCACTCAAACTCATCTAAACCTTGATAAACCCATTTCAAAAAGACAAGAGGTGCTGGGCGACAAACTCCAAGGAGCAACTCCAACACAGTCCAAAAACCAGAGATGCTCTTGAAAAACAAGTTCCACGTGGGTGAAGCCTCCGAAGGGACCTGTCACCGTGCTCCTGCTTTGCCCCACGCGCTGGCATTTCAGTTTGGAAATGTCAGACAAGCTCCCGCCTCTGGAGATACCCTGCAAAGGGCTCTCCTCCCCGAAGGAGCCAGGGAAAGGCTCAGAGCCCACGCTCAGCCCAGCCCCAGCCCCTCAGCTCTTACCTGGCCGCCTCCGTGCCCGCAGCCGTGCCCGGAGCCCCGGCAGCCGCCCCGGCAGCCGCGGGGACAGAGAGCCCAGCACTCCAGTGGCACCGAGGACCAGCCCCGGTGGCACCGAGGACCAGCCCCTCGCTGCAGCTCTCGGCGTATTCGCCAGGCACCAGAATGTGACAGCTCAGGCCACCCCCACGGAGCCACCAGTGACCACAGAGCTCCATCCTGCTGCGGGAGCGCCGGAGTTAACGCAAGCACGGCTGGAAATGCAGGACTTTCCCTCGGAGTCAAACTGCACAGTGAGGCTCAAATTCCCTTCTGAAACTGCCCACCCATCCTGCTTTCCAGCACTGAGCTGACCTGTTCCCTCAGGAAAGCACAAGCACAACTTTGGAACAGACATGGGAAGTACCAAAAATACAGAGAAAGGCACCTTGCGTTTTCCTAAACACGAGTCCTGACAGAAAACAACACTTTTTCCCTTAAATGACCTGAAGAACGGAGGGTTTGGTAACTGCACTGACAGCTGGTTCATTGAACATCCCCAGGACAAAGATTTCTAACAGGAAGGGACAGTTTGGGGTTTTTTCTTAACCAATTATCCTTGACTTAGAGCAGGCAGGAAACATTGAAATAATAACAACTATCAACGGTCTGTCAGACAGAAGGGTTTTGTTCTCTCTCTCATTTCCAAACACCAATCAAACACCCAATGAAAAATCAGAACCTGGTGGTAGCAACTGTTGCTCCAGAATCCATATGGTACATCCATGCCCTAATTAATCCCTATGAACTATCTCCTATTTGTAATTAATTTGATGGTGGAACAAAATCAGCATTTCACTGTGAAGTAAGGTCACACTGTCCAGAGTGTCAGGACTAATTCCTACCAACAGAAATGAGAATTGCCTTTAAAAGGCCAGTAAAAATAGCTGCACAAATGTCATTCCTGTGAAATTTTATGACACTGGGTGAAAGGCCCAACGGAGGCCAAAACTCTCATCTGACTCAAGAGCAGGATTCTTCTCATTGTGCTCCGCACTGGGGTCAAGCACAGAGAATCACGGAATGTCCTCAGTGAGAAGGGACACACAAGGTCATCAAGCCAAATTGATGGCCCTGCACAGGACACCCCCAACAGTCCCACCACGTGCCTGAGAGCTTTGTCCAAACACTCCTGGAGCTGGAAAATATTTCCTCAAGCAATGCCAAACCGCAGGGCTGCGGCCCGTCAGCTCGAGGCAGGGCTGGCTCCGGCTGCCAGCAGCGCTATGAAGGTTTATCCAGGCAAGAATTCTGAGCAGGAGCTGCTGCTTCCAGGGACTGTGCTGGAGCCGCAGCAGCTGGCACGGGATCCGTGAGCCC